TAACAACGTACATAAGGCTGCACAAACAAGAATAAGCATGTCAGATTGTGTGATATATAGCCCGAAAAGTATCCTACTACTCGGTGGTACGTGGATTGAGGGTACAAGTTGCATAAGTCCTCGATTTGATAGCGAGAAGACACTGGTCAGTGGGTACTTGGTGAGTACTAACCTCAGCAAAAAACTGAATGGGTAAATTACCATTAGTCTCGGGGGTCCATAATACTAGAACAAGCGGAATAGCCGACACAAAACCACACTTCACTTGTGGATGTGGGGGAGGGCCCGGGCCCAGGGCTTGGGCTCACAAAATCTCGAGCCCGAGCCCTAAGCCTCCCGAAGCCCTCTGCCAGGGCTGGGCTGGGCTTGCCAGGGCTCAAGCCTGAGCCCGCACATCACTATGGCTGATGGACATGGACTGGGTCTTGCAGAACCTACCGGGAAGTGAGGGGAACCTACGGCTTCCACCGTCGAATTTATTGACAGAAGAACGGGTTTCTGACCTGAAGAAGCGTGTCTCTGCTATCGCCTGTCAGCAATTACAATACCAACTCGACACGAACTCGAAACTAATCCTCCTGAGGGACAGATTGGAACCCGTGGACCCGGCAACAAAAGATAAACCTGCTCATCATACTCTCCATATTCGGCACTATCTCAAACGCGTCCAAGACCATAGACATCGAGTTATCTTGACGAGGCTACTCCTGGGCGACCTATATCCATCGGTTTTCAGAGCGCGGGCGGGGAAGGAGTGGGTTGATACCGCCAATTGGGAATTCCTGAAGTGTAGAGGTTGCGGAATTCAGTATGAGACTCCTGAACATGTCATTTTCCGATGTATGGGTGACGTTGAGGTGGGAAGACTCCGTCTAGCATTGGTGAGGGAAATTGGTAAAAGGTGGGAGGACTGGAGGAACTACGAAACAGCGCCGTTGGAGATGCTGAAGAGGTGCATCTTTGACTGGGGATTCGTGGCGACATTCGCGAAGTCGTTATTCAACGTAGTTGTAAGGTGGAGAGAGAAGGTGAAAGCACCGATGAAGGTATTCGAGGACGATATGACGGATGGGGAGAGTGATGAAGAGGAGGCTGACTGCGATGCGAACAGTTGATTAAAACGGGAATTTTGGACACGTATGTCTGACAGTTATTTCGATTACTCGGACTTTTCATTATACGTTTTGTTCTCACTTACGGTACGGTCTGCTATGTCCTGTACTGTACAGAAAGGTCTGAGTCTGGTCGTGTGGGCTGTTTGGTTGACCTCCCCCTTGTTGGGGTGTGCTCATCTCTCGGTCTATTCCGGCTCCGGCGGTTCCTTCATGGGACGGTGCCGTGTACTTATCTATCTATCTATCTATCTACGTGGGCCGGACAGGTTTTGAGTGGCTGTACGGCTTAATAAGCGGACGCGGCACTATCGGGAATTGCCCACCCCCATAAATTGAAACAATATTCAGATGCTGGATCGTCTCAAAGCCGCTACCGAACAAAGCATCCGCCTCCATCTAGATGATCAGTTGATGGAGATGGAAGGCACGAAAGTTAATCGAGTTCCCGACCTACTCACATTTAAGTATATAAGGATCAAACTCCCCTCCGCGGAAGCTTTCGTCTCACTCATCAATGTCCTTGACAGCCGCCGAAACCAGTGATACCTACAAAGCTTTTGTGGAGGACGAATACAACCACGGCATTCTACTCCCAGTCATCGTCTCTTCGGTGAGTGTAATCTGGCCGAGGACCTATGCTACCGAGTTACCTGATCGAGTCTGCTGCCTAGGCTCACCTGTTCTTATATGGACTTAATGCCCTATTATTTCGAGCGGGCCTTGTCGTCTTGAAAAAGCGTGAACGGGAGATTCAAGGCGGGAATCATCGACTGTTCCAAGTATCTCTCGTCTCGCTCTTTGTGCTATCCTCGGTGGAAGTCCCCATTAGTCTCGTGTGGGATATTTTCAAGACGAGGGCGGCGCTGTGTAGCATCGCGAAGCTGGGGTGTGCGCTGAAGATGAGGATCATCCTTCAAGCTCTCGAGTATGATCCCCCAAATTTTATCCCCAATGATTGTTCTCATCGCATGCACAGCATCTGTCGGGTTGTAATCGCCCTATTCATAAGGTGGGACCCCAAACCATCTGTATTCAGGCTCTCCAATGACCGCGTAGCCATGAGCTAGTTCAATCATTGACATGATTTTGGTCAGTACCACTAGGGACATTTGCAAAATGTCGAAGTTCTGAGCGTCATTTCCCGCCGGATGACAGGTGTTTCGATGCTTTGCCATATGCGGGTGGCGGAGGAAAAATTACGCTATAACCTTGATCGTGTGTTGCCTCATAACGGACGGTACGTTCTCCCAATGATTAAAGACCCATAGTGATTGAAAGCTTGGATGATCCGGTTTTGTTAGTCGCAGCAACTGTTTTCGCAATCTGGACTTATGGAACGAATATGTATCTCCCACAAATTCACGCGGATGCGACAGCACAAGTATTGCTACCCATCAAATCTCTGTTTCTTGAGGTATCCGCTATAGGTTGTATCTGTCTTCACCTTCTGGCAAATGTGGTATTGACCATCATTATTGGTGAGTACCTTGAGCTTAATCAAAGCCAAGCTCAACTGATGACTATAAAACTATGACCTATATCATTATGTAGCCTTCAAGATCTTACGATCCGGGATTGCCAAAGCGCCAACCAGATTCCGAACCATTGTAATACTCCTGTGAGTACTCGCAACATGATAACTTCCTCAGTTTCACAACGTAAATCTGACATGTTGACTCCTTCCAGGATAGAATCCTGTGCGCTCTATATTGCGGCATGGATGTTGTTCCTTATATATGGGTTCTTGGAAAAGGGAACGGAGTTGACATCAATTCTCATTCAGGTTGCGGTAAATTTCGAAGTCCATCATCGAAACTCCCCTGTGCTCGAGTCTGACAAACTTCTGGCAGGCACTCGCTCCTACCCTCCTCATTGTCAGGACAAACATAAACAAGGAAAAACATGGAGAGGGTGTCGCCCTCTATGTTCGGAATGCTACGGCTACCAGTCGGGGGGGAGATCATTTTTGACATTTCGGGGAATTTGTCGCATGGGTCGAGGGTTTAACCTGGTGGCGTGACGAGTATGAAGCTTTTTCGGGAGGTACATCTCAGACAAGGAAGTATACATTGACTATGGGGCTGCTCCATAGAATGCGAAGTCTGTGCTGGGCCGCAATTCACGAGCAGAGAGTTTCGAAAGAAGCGCCTATCGTAATGCAAGGAGAAAAAAGAACGCAACTCTCCAAGCAATGACGAGAGTGGGATTCGAACCCACGCCCCGGAGGACCAGATAAACTGCACATCGAATGTGCTGATCCTTAGTCTGGCGCCTTAGACCGCTCGGCCATCTCGCCATACACCCTGTCTTGAATCACAATCTGATATTCGGCGTAACAAAGCAGCTCCTGAGTAGTTAAATTGACTGACGATACCCAAGTTGCAGTTGGACACAAGACTCGTAGCTGCAACCCCGTATTGAGCCTTCCTATTCGGCATCATCCTAAGTCTCTACCCCCGAGATCGGGGCCAAGTCGAGAGGTTACTAAGCGCTCGAACCGAAGACCACGATCACCCCTTCCCCGTGCTTCAGAGCCGTGATCGGAAACATACATAACATCCCCTGAGAAGTACCGATCACAATCTCATAGACAAATATACGTAGAAATCGGAGCCCAGTTAGCTGTGAATCAACTTGTGATTTTCCCGACCAAAGTAAAGAGGTGTCCAACCAGCGCAAGTCCTCC